AAACGATTTTAAAAAGTTTGTTCTTTATAGTTTTTTTTAAATATGCGCTGTAAAATCCTTTAGTACACTTCCTTTGCATAAGTGAAAAATTTCTTTAATTTACAAAGTAGCATAAATTGAAATTAATAGAATATTTACGGTCTAAACAAACGGTCATCCATTTGAGGCAATTTTAGGACGTCGTAACAAATCGATATTTAAACTGAATTGATAGTTGAAAAATTTCAATTCTATGTTATTCTAATAAAAGGCATTGTTTTACAAAAATGAGATTTCACTATTAAAATCATACGTGTTTTTAAAAATAAATACAGTGAAAATCGTTTTACACGAAATTGTGGGAATGAAATATTTTTTCGCGTTAAAAGAATTTCGTGCTTAAGGTTATTGGAAAGAAAACATATATCCAACAAAATTAAGTTAACTAGAGTACGTTTTATTTACTTAGATATATGTATATATACATGTATTTCATAAAAATCAATAAAACAAAATCTTAATGAAATTTAATAAAAAAAATTTCAAGTTTTTTGAAAAACAAAACATTTCTTGAGTTGTTAGGAAATAATCTCATATTTTCCTTTGGATAGTCTATTTAGCATCGAATTGTGAAGATCCCCTTGGATCTCACTTTGAGAACGAGAATAATTTGGATTCAGATAAGAGCCAGTAGCCATTTTATAAATAACTTTATTTGGTTATCTTTCCCAAATAGAATCAAAGACTTTTAATAACAAATAATTCAAATTAGCTATATGAGGATTAAAAGGGACTTTCCTTTAAATTAACTTAAATATTTAATGATCCAATTAATTAGCAATTAGAATATCGATCACGCAGAGATTACCACGATAAGAGATCCCAGAATTATATTCAATAATATTCCTATTGAACATTTAACTTTAATGTCACTCCTAATATAAAGCTTTAATGAGATTTTAAATATAAATCAATATTTACCACACTGAATCTCAACTCTTCCTGAGATTAATTTATCCACCTAGAAATCTTCAATAATAAATCTCTAACTTCACTATTATACCTTTCTGCTTCAATCTCTCTCTCCTACTGCTTTTTACTTTACTATTCCGTTTGACTTAAATACTTTATCTAATCTGCATAACAAGGAATCCTGTCCTCTTTTTTGAGCTGATTGGAAATAGGTAGGGGAATTAAATTTCCCTAAAAAAGACGTCTCAGAAGGTTAGTGATAAAGTTCCGTATAGGTTTGTCACAGAATGATCCACCAATTGTTCGATGTTGTTCATATCACCATTGGAATGTGCATCTAAATAATTGCGCATGCTTTTCCTGATGTTCCTCATTTCGGATGACGTGGTAACAGGAGCTGCACTATCAATTTCATTTTCGTCGTCGGAATCTGCATCCATGATACTTTTTGAGCTTTGATCAAACTCAAAATGTCTTTGTCTGCCATAATTGAGGCTGTACGCTGATTATCCTCATCTACTGCAATGAATTTTTTCCGATAATACAATAGGACAGTCCAATAATGCAGAAATTTTCTCAAACCTTTCATTTAAATTTCGGCCCAGTTTCAATATCCTCCTTCTCCAGAAGGGAAATCTTTTCAAGTTAACCAATTTTTGTTTCCTGTTAAGAAAAAAAAAATGCATGAAATACATAGAAATTGCGTTATTTCGTGTTAACCGACATTTCGTCTTTAGCGTTTTTGCATTAAACGTATTTCTCTGTATTCAAAAAGAGACATTAATACTTATATGAAATAAGTAATGAAAAAATAAGTAGTCACCAATGATATATATAAACGAAAGTGGGTGGGTTATAGCTTAAAAATCGTATCGAAACTTAGTTGGGCCTAAAAAAGGAGGGGAATTAAGTCTCCAAATGGGAATGTACAATCTAGATATATATTATAAATGCGAAAGTTTGTTTGGATGTTTGCTCGTCTTTCACGCAAAAACAACTGGATGTATTTTAATGAAACTTTACAGTAATATAGCTTATACATCAGAATAACACATAGGCTATAATTTATAAAGATATTGTGTAAGGTGTCCAAAATATAACGATATTTGTCAAGTAAGTAGGAAAAAATTCTGCCATCTGGAAGCAATTCTGGCGTGTGCTGCAAAAAAACCCATGACAGCATATGTATATCTATCCTTTATTTGTGAAGAAACCCTTTTTGTTCTGGTTACGCAAGGCTCTCGCTTCTAATTAATTCCTCTAATCAGCGTAAGCCCAAATTGTTTTTTTATTTCAGAATAAAACTAAGTTTTGAAGGGAGAGATTGTTATAAATCTCTCTTTGTTTGAATTTTTTTTATGATTTTATTATGCACATTTGGCAGTAAGAAATTGATCTTTTTTCCAAATAAATACTTTTATCACTTCTGGTATTTAAAGTAAATAAACTTTCTCTTTCACACTACATCATTTGGACAAACTTTCATAATTTGTTTGAGATTAGTAGGTAATTATAGCGCTATAATTTTAATTGAATAGGTAGATATTGCATTTTTAAGTATAAAAATAATTATAACTACTGTACTGTATTTTTTGGAGTGAGTGAATATTAACGTCACACTGTTCAGCTACGCGAGGGCTTCTGGCGACGGACCACGTAATTTTAAACCATGGCCAAGTGACGTGGACGACACCTGAACTGACACCCCCTTCTCCGAACTACCACACCACACCAACTTAGCAGGAATATTCTACCAATAGTTAGCAGGAATATTCTACCAATACTTAGCAGGAATATTCTTTGAAATCCACTCTTCCAAAATAAATGGCAGCACGAGTTCTATGATGAGTATTTTAGCGGTCAAGGCGAATAGTTTTGTAGCAGATATTACGTTTTCAGCGGATTGCAAAGATTATCATTTTTGTCCCGAAAAAATAGTTAATGTCAAAATTTAAGTGTCTTATGTTTTTATATATTAATGAATAGCTTAGAAAACGATTTGACTATTTATTTTAAGTGAACGGTGTATATAATTAATTTTACAGGGAAATATCTTTAATTAGTTTATTAGCTCTAACGGATTAAATTTCCCAAAGTGGAGTATTTTGTTTATGTATATCCCTTAATTTTAAATGTAGTGATCCAAAAAAATATTGTATGAAAAAAACTGCAGTAAATCATAATGCGGTTGGATAAAGTATTAACGTGCATCGCACCCCTACACGGCGAGTCTTACAAAGCTCTAATAAAGCTCAACCTATGAATGTAGCTAGACATTTGTCAATTCGACTCTATCGTCAACATTTCGCTATGTTTTTCATTGAATCGCCATTATAATTTAAGAAACGGCGTTGCTTGCGAATATTACAATTTTAACATAAAATAAATACTACAGAAAGTAATATTATTAATTCAGATAAAAATTATTTACACTATTTTAAGCGTTCATTAAACAAAACTTTTAACAATGTGTTACTTTTGCTGAGCAGAGATCAGCTTAGGGAGGTATTTTCAAAAATCGACCCTCAAGAGTGTTACGGGAAGTTATAAATAAAAAAAATCGTTTTTATCAGTTATTAGATCTACAGACTTAAAATTTAACAAAGGTGTTTTTTTTTTCCTTTTTTTGTTCAGCTGAGATGTGAAAAAAGCTTTTTTTGTTTAATTTGCAATTCACGTAAAATTAACTCATTAAAAACTTTTTTATCCTTCAATCTGTGTTGTTTAATTTCTCAGTTCACCCGTGCGAAGAACGGGTATACCAGCTAGTTTGGAATATTTGTGGTATGTAATTTGAATCTTGATTCCACAGAAACGTAGTGTGGAATAAAGGAGATTCTAGCACGTTGAACTGAATTTTAAAATCTTTATTTGGGATAAGAAAGGAATTATTTAAAAATATAATTACAATTGAAGGCATAATCTTCGCCAAAATGTCAAGGTCTATTGCCAATAACCTGTGCAATGCTAGTACATTTTTATGAAAGCTATCTACAGCAGTTTTTAATCTACTTATTTTTCACAAACTGAAAAATTGTGTTTACTGGAATGTAATTAAGTGTATCCGAAAGAATAAAAAAATAAGAAAGATTTCTTTATGATTTTTCCATGCAGTATTTATTATTTTTTTAATTTTAAAAACCCAGAAATTCCCAGACGAATCGATAAAATAGATATAAAAGTTCTTTTTCGAACATGAAAGGGGATAAATTCTAATAAGAGAGAAAGGCCTTCCTTTTTAAAAACTCTTTTGAATGTATTTTATTACATTCCACGATGGATTTGAGATATTTAGACTTTCTATAAGATTTTTTTAAAAACTTTCTCTGAATTTAATATGCTTGATAGAAGGAATTCTTTAAAATTGAAACTAAGAAGTTTAAAAGGTTTTTCGTTTGAATGATAATAATATCAATCGCTTTGCTTGGATTTATTGAATTTTTTACTTTTTGTAATTCAACAATGTTTGACACCGTGTTCATCCTGAAAACTAAAACGATAAAAATAAAGGAATGTAAACAAGCTGGTCAAGAAATATTTATAAAAATATTTTTATTCAGGTGTATAAATTACATTTTATGTATAAGTTTTAGACATTTTTAAAGAAGGGTAGTTTCCTTGCATCTTTTTCTGTTGCTTAACAAGGAATAATGTAATATAGACTGTTTTAAACTCACTCTTGATACGTAAAATGGGGAGTTCATTATTATTCTTTTGGTCTTATTAGTTACTGCAAAGTAACAATCAAATATATAACTAAATACAAAACTAGTAATATAAAAAAAATGTAAGTCAATTCCTTCTTAGGTCAACAAAGAAAAATTTTATTTTAGTTATTTGTTATTAAAGTTACAATTAATATAAATATGTATATACATATGACAGAATCACACAATTAAGTGACAAAATAGAAAGCGATTTTCCTTGCAATTTTCCTTTCTATATATGTTGGATTATTTTTGTTTGTTACTATTTATTAATTGATTAAATTTAATTATTCTAAGAAAATAGTATAGTAAAAAAAGAAATCACATTCTCAAAAATTAGGTTAGCCCAGGTGGGATTTGAACCCACGACCTTTGGATTCGAAGTCCAATACGCTATCCAATGCCCTACAGGGACATAGTGAACGATTTTCCTTTCTACATATGCTTTTGTACTAGTATTTTTGTTTGTTACTATTTATTAATTTTTAATTTAATTAATTGAAAAAATGTGTTAACATCATGTCTGATCCACTACAAGTTGAAAAATATGCATTTGAACTTGAATGGATGAATAGAAAGTATGTTATGAGCTACTGGAAATTTAAACAATATATATTATATCAGTGGAGCACACAAGGGGGCCGGATCCCCCAAGCCCTTGAATTTTTTTCCAATTGATTTATAGTTCTAAGTTTATAGTGCGCAAAATTTAATTAAGTATTTTTTATTAATGATTAATTTTATTAATTAATACTTATTATTTATTCAATAATTAATTTTTTACTGTGTTTTGTTCCTGAATATTGAAAAAATCAAAAGGAGCATGATACAAGAATGGTGAACTTTCGACATCGGACCCCCCTCCCCTTGAAAAATTCCTGTGTGCACTACTGTATTATAGAGAGAGAGAGAGAGTGAACTAATAGTAGGAATTGAAAAAATCCTAAAGAAATAAAGAGCTTAGTTTAAAAAATAAGCAGATGTTTATTTTTAGAGCAATTTGCCTTTTTACGCTCTGTTACTGATATAACATGGCACATATTTGTAGATTTTCATATTTTTAAACCGGTTTTCCAGATTTAGTAAAAATAAAAATTGAAAAACCAGTTTTGAAATTTTCTAAAATCTTGCTGTCAACAATCACAAATCTAAAAATTCAATTTTATTCAACTTTCATGACTTTCAAGGGAAAGTCCAAATTGCCCTATACCGTACTCACACTGGTGGATAAAATTAAGGCAATTTGCATATTTTGTCAAATTTCATGAAAAGAATTGAACAAAACGTAAGAATACTGCTTTTAAACAAAGATACAATTCTTGTTTTTCAAATTTGTAAGCATATATGTGTGTAGTGGTGGACCTGATCGAGGAACAGGATTTAAAAGCGTGCATGCCAAAATCCATATTTCATTCGCCAGAACACCATGCAGAATTTCTTAGTGTTTTATAGAATTCGGTTAAATTAAAATTGTGAAATAAGTAAAAATAAGTAACCACCAAAGTTTATGTGATAGACGGAGGTTGCAAATTGTGGGTAAACTAGAAGCAGGCTAGTCTCAAACCCAGAGTTGTAGAGAATTCAGTTTATCCGCCGTGTTCAGGATATAGGAACCATCTGGAGCAGGGGGGTTCAAACTGTAGTCCGTGGGCTCTTGGGGGTCCACAAAGTCCCTCAAGTAACGTTGAGATTTCCTTTTTTTACGGACTCTGAAAGGCCTCGTGGAAAAGCTGACAGATGTGCCATCCTAGACTAGACTGCTGTTCAAAAATTCTTGGGGATTCGTACCTAATGAAAAACCTCTTCTAGAACTTGTATTTTGATCATTTAAATATGAATATTAAGTCGGAGAGGGATGTTCAAAAATTCTTGGGGATTCGACGATGTCACCCTGATACGTAAACTTGTATTTTGAGGGGGGGCGATCGCAAGTTTAAGAACTTTAAGAACTGATCTAGAGCAGTGCTCCGCAACCTTTTATCGCTGCGGACCGGTCAATATTTGATAATTTTACCGTGGCCCACTGAGGGTGAGATACGTTGATTGTTTATATTTTTAGATTATTTTGATTTAATATTTTTAATTTAGTTACATTTAAATATGCCTTCAGAATAAATATAATTACACCAAAGATGAATAGCAGGGGGTTCAAACTGTAGTCCGTGGGCTCTTGGGGGTCCACAAAGTCCCTCAAGTAACGTTGAGATTTCCTTTTTTTACGGACTCTGAAAGGCCTCGTGGAAAAGCTGACAGATGTGCCATCCTAGACTAGACTGCTAAAAAGTACCTAATGAAAAACCTCTTCTAGAACTTGTATTTTGATCAAGAATATTAAGTCGGAGAGGGATGTTCAAAAATTCTTGGGGATTCGCGATGTCACCCTGATACGTAAAGGAGGGGGCGATCGCAAGTTTAAGAACTGCTGATCTAGAGCAGTGCTCCGCAACCTTTTTATCGCTGCGGACCGGTCAATATTTGATAATTTTACCGTGGCCCACTGAGGGTGAGATACGTTGATTGTTTATATTTTAGATTATTTTGATTTAATATTTTTAATTTAGTTACATTTAAATATGCCTTCAGAATAAATATAATTACACCAAAGATGAATAAAAGTGATTTAACGTGGAATATAAATTTATTTCCGTGGAAAGTTGGCACGAATCCGAGAGAGATGCACTACTTTAAATAAAATGGCAATAATTTAATTTTCTTTAGGCGGCCCGGCACCATTTGATCCACGGACCGGGGGTTGCGAATCACTGATCTAGAGCATGGATGGGCAAGGTCGTGCAAGAGCCACGACGGCTAGAGAAAATTACCGTTTGTCCATTATAGCGAGGTGTAACAAGGATGCTACATTTTTCAGCTCCTTCGTGAGATTCCAGAAGACTTTATGAGTTAGGGTGTTTGCAAGAGGGCCTCTTGTTTGTGTCCCGCTCACTTCTACGAACAGGAGAGCCCTTTTATAATAATACAGAGATCATAGAGATTGGAGCAGGGGTCAGTGGCCGACCGTTCTCTTTATTGATGAATCCTGGTTCAGCCCTACCAGTGATTTCGCCGTACTTTCATTCAGAAAGAACTAGAAACCCGCTACGTGCTCTCCAATGTCGGAGAAATCGACCGTTAAGGCAGTGGAGGTTCGATGGTCTGGAAAGGCGTCACGTTAGAGGGACGCACACACCTCCATGTCCTTGAAAGAAACACTGTGACTGCTGTGAGGTATAGGGACTAGGTCTTGGAGCCTTATGATTGCCTTTTCAAAACAGCAATTGACCCTAATTTCATTTTAATGGATGACTACTCGAGGCCACATAGAGCTCATCAGGTCAACGAATTTCTGGAATGAGAGGATAATCGCCGACTTGATTGGCCAGCCACATCTCAAGACCTCAACCCTACAGAGCATACCTGATGTGCTCAGGGGAGAGAGATTGTAACACCTTTCCGAGAATGATCCAAGGTCCGAAAACAGTTTTGTTGTACGAGTGAGACTCCCTTTTTTCGAGTATAAAATCACAGTGCGAAACCTATATATCGTTAAAATGGTGCCATACTACCTATTGATATAAGGTGACTATTTTTTTTTACAATGAAAAGGAGGACGCGCGCGCGAAAAGTTTAAGAAAAAGTTACAGCGCAAATATATGAAACATTTTATTAATTCAAATAAAAATACACTAATTACGCTTGCATTCCTATTAATTAATTACTCAAATGAGTAATTTCCCATTGAATGATTGTTTTGGCAATATATCGTTTTCTGATACATCTGAAATTTCGGAGCAAAAAATATCCTTCATACTCAATTTTACGGTAAGTACTGCAGCTAAAATATCAACATTTAATCTTATTTCTCACCTTTCCAAAAATCATTTCCAACTGAAAACACTTTTTCAACTTCTGCATTAGTTCCAGGGCAGCACACAACATAAATTCCACAAGAATAACTAAATTATTCATTGTTATTTAGTGTTCATTTTTGAAATGGTTAAGCATTTCCACCCATCTTTTGTCAGTTTTAGCATTCTGATTTTCCAATTGTTCCATTTTATTAGAATTTAAATATACACACATTTAGTTTTCTAATTTCTTCAAACAGACAATTGCTTCGATTTTAATATCGGGCATTTCTTTCGATGAAACTCAACACAGTTTTCTATATCTGCCCAATTGACTTTAGATGAAGTAAAAAAATACCATTGAAAACTGTTATTTCCTGTGATATTTATTTCAGACCATTCTTCGTTACATTGAAAACATGTTTGGTTGATCTCTGAATTGAAATTAATAGATCAGTTTTTTTTTAAATTATTGAAAAAGAGGACACTTTTCTAGGAAGGACAGAACCTATAAAAGGAGGACTGTCCTCCCTAAAGGAGGACGGTTGGTCACCTTACTATTAACCTATTTTTTTTTTGTTCTATTCTACGACTGTTGTTTCATACCTTTAGACTCCAATGAGTTTTGCTCCCGATTGCGTGTGTATAATAACTGTTTAATGGTTATTTTTTTTATTATATCAACCCTATGTATAAATCAAATTTTATTTAAACCTATCCCGTAGTTCTAGAGATAATCGACCAAATCTGAAAATTGCCTTAATTTTGAACACCAGCATATTTTGATTTATCCGTATTTTACCAGTATGCGATCGACGTTTGCGTACGAATTCAATTTCATCTACGGTTCAGATTATATATATATATAATTACAAAATAATTCCATTTCATAAACATTCTTGTTGAAAAATAATCGTGTTTACTAATTAAATCCTACTGAAAAATTCACAGAAGTAAAAAAAAAATCCATCTCACAAAAGATTTCTTGTTGTTTTATTTTCACTTCCTGTGATATAAATCTAGATTGCCTGGTGAGTGGAGAAAATGCATTGCTTGTCCTTTTAACGGCTTAACTTCGGAAAAATAATCATGTAAACAGTGAAGGAAGATGACGAGGAAAAATAACGGAACGTACATTCAGAGGATTACAATCATCACCTTGCTGAAACGTAGATAGATCTTGGTTTCCATTTAGACGTTGCTCAACTTGAAAAAATAAATAAATAAATAAAAATAAATAAATGGTTATTTCAACCCGAAAACTTCATAGTTAATAGATTTTAGTTTCTAAAAAAGGATGACTAAGGTTTTTGGATTTTATAAGAAAACATAACTTGATTCGGGGATGAAAAAGATGGAAGAAGAATAAGAGGAATATAATCTCTCCAACATTCAGCTTCTTGTACTTTTGTAGTGTATTGACCAATCAATAAATCCATTGCAGTCGCAGCAAATATCTATTCTGCATTTGACATAATCTCTTCACAATGTATGTAATGCGAAAAACTATTTTAGCGAACTTTGATTCTTTAATCGTTGGGAATTTAGAAAGATCATAAGTTAATGTGTT